CGACAACGACGACGACAGCGAGGACGGCGATGGGAGCCTTCCACACGGTGTGAGCCACCGCGAAAGAATATTACTATCAGAAAATTTATCAGCGAGATCCTCGCTAATCGGCCTCCTCCAAGAGATCACCTCTCCACCGCTCTCCACGAGAGGGGCAAGTTCACGGTGTCGGTGTACACTTTACACTCATATACAGAGGACACATACACATATCTATCTCTTTCTTTTCAATATTTCTTCTCTTCTTCTCTTACACGGGATCACAAATGATTCGGTCAACCCTCCCGTTTGCGCTTAACCCTCGCTGACGGTGGGTGCTCGCGCACACCACACCACTACCTCCAGCAAATCATCTGCGATCGGGATTCGAGGCCGACCGGTTGAGATTGTCGGGAAGCCTATCTCGCTTGTCGCGGATACTGACTGCCCACACCGCACCGTCACCACCTCGCACCGCACGACACGAAAGTCGCGAGCCACAGCCGAATTCGGCCGAGACGGCAGACGCGCGTCAGCGTGTACCACAACCTAGAACGACGACCACCGTTGTATTCAGTGTTGTATGAAGTTGTTCAAGAGCGAGAACGCGTGCGTACTCACCGTACTTGTCACAGATGTGAAAAGTAACTAGACTGAACGAACCGCGAACGTTCGCATTGCGATTTGCGATTGTTGGACAAAAAGAAATCCAACGCCCGCCTCTCTCTCTTTCTCTCTCTCTCTCTACTTTTTTTAACTGTTTTTCTTTTTTTATATCATTTAACAATCATTTGACTTTTGTTATCAAACTATCGCTTAAATCATGAATATTTAAATAGGCGTATATATTATGCACAGCTTATACAGATGGTTTCAAATTTTTGTTTGTCACATTTTCCCATTTAGCCAAGTCTGTGCTCGAACAAATTTTCTTATTTTATTGATCTGTTATATCAGATGCCAACAATGAAATACCGTGAAAAATATAATAGGATTTATATTTACATGACTTGATAGCAGAAAAGCACAAGTATATAATCGTTTTGTTTTTGTTACTCATAGAAAAGATCGATAGAACAACGTTTGTGATGTCTTGTGTCATTATTGTCATTTAACGGAAAATACTCTTTCTGTCAGCACTGAAATCTGCAAGTTGTTACGTTTTATATTATTATAGATTTTCAAATATTGGCAATTTAATGTATATCAGAACACGATTTTTGTACGTATAATTTGTCTTTTCTTTTTCTTAAGAATAATTAAAGTTGGACTCTTGAGATAAAAATTAAACGATAAATGAAATTGGCGATTCAGTATCAACATATATTTTTCAGTAGTGTCTCTCTCTCTCTCTCTCTCTCTCTCTCTCTCTCTCTCTCTCTCTCTCTCTCTCTCTATATCAAAGTATCGCTATTACATAGCTCTGTG